TGCTGCTCAGCAAGTGACCACTGAGAGGGGGAAAAATTATACACTGTCATTTTCAAGAGCGTGGTATGCACGCAAACCATGGCTAACAGAATGTCTGAAGAGCAAGGCTCTTTTTTGTTTCCCATGCATGCTTTTTCAATCGATGGGCATGGATCATGCATGGGTTGCTACTGGGGTGACAGACCTGAAGCACCTGTCAGAGAAGATTAAGAAGCACAACCTCAGCAAAGTGCACACGGAAAATGCAATAAAGCTAGCTTTGTTCGGCAGAGTTAACATTGCCACTCAATTGAATGACAGCTACAGAATAGGAGTCAGGAAACATAATAAGGAGGTAGACAAGAGCCGACATATTCTGTCAAAAATTATTGATTGTGTTAAGTTTTGTGGTACTTTTGAGTGGGCACATCCATACGTTTGTCTTGATAGCTGTCTGGAAAGGAGTAACAGGGCCACATTAATGTAGAGCAATGTTTGTGTTTATATGTTTGTAATGGAAAAGACATATACAGTATATATATATATATATATATATATATATATTTGTAATCAGTTCACTATTTTGCATTGAACCAGGGTTACTCACTGTTGTACTACTCTTGCTAAAATATAGGGCATTAAATCTGAATCTAATCTGATTCAGGTGACATCTTGCATCCCTTGTGTCTCTGGTTTCTTCTCTGACCTGAGTGGGTTTGCTGCTTTCTTCTCGCGGTTACGCAAGAGAACCAGTATGCTGGACAATGTGGTTGCACACAGACTCCCAAGATCCTCTGCAATACGGTGGAACTTCCAGTCGAGCAGTGAACACTGTATACGAATATAAAGATGATCTGATTCAGTGTTTCGGATCCATCAGAGAGGGTGGAGAGTTTGATCCCCCCCACACAGCAAGAGGCAGGAGCTTTTTGCGACTGCTGGAGGATTCCACTATTTTGTTGGGATTTATTTCACATGATCATGCCACATGTCGACATCCTGTTCAGCTTGCTCCAGAAAAGGAACATTGATGCCGTCTACATCCACAAGAGCATTCAAAACTTCACCCAGTCTGTGCAGAAGATCAGGGACTCCATTCCCTCTATCTGTGCTGAGCATTGCGAAGCTCAGGGGACCAGCAAGAGGCGCCAGGCACCAGACTATCAAAGGATAGCTACAGAGGTCAGTGACATATCATGCATCATTTTAGTCTACTGGTAAGACTGTTGTTCTTGTGACTAATTACAATAATGCTCTTGTAACTGAGGCTGCAATTAGAACATGAACCTATAACATCAATTAACATGTTTGCTATTTTTTATTGGACTTTTGACTTAACAAGTGTTGTGTATCATTTTATAGGTGTGTGATACCATCCTTGCCCATGCCAAGGAACGATATGCCTTCACAAAGCATCTTATTGCTTCCACACTGCTTCTCCAAGAGATGTTTGCCCAACACCAACAACAGTTCCCTGATGCTGCGCTTAATGCTGCCGCTGAGGCTTACCCTGCTCTGAACAAGAACAAGCTCAAGACCAAACTGTTCCTCATCTACTCCAACCAGGACTTCCATGCCTGCAGTGGGGCAGTGGCAGTGTTCCAGGTGTTATGGACAACAACATGCAGGATACCTTCTCAGAAATGGTGGCCCTGCTGAAGATCCTCATTACAACACCGATGACCACTGCCGAGTCTGAGAGGTAAGCCACTACACAGACAAGCTGGGCCAAGCCTTCTAATATACACTCACCTGTATAAACCATTGATTAATTTATCAATTCATGATAAGTGTATAAGTTATTCGTTCACTCACTTTCACCCATCCAGTCTCCCACTTACTCAGTCAGTCATTTATTCATTCTTTTCTGCATAGGTGTTTCTCCACTCTCAAACGGATCAAGACATTCTTGAGAAACACCATGGGGCAGGAATGCCTAAATGCCTTGTCCATGCTCTCCATGGAAAAGAAACTGGCAAACAGCATTCCAGACTTGAATGAAAAAGTTATTGAGAGGTTTGCATCTCTGAAGGAGAGACATGCCATATTTACGTACAAATAGACTGTTCTTAGCCGCAATCAGATTTTTGTATTTTAGTTCAGAAAAATTAAGTTCAGAAGAACACAATAAAAATATAACATAGAGCTAGTTTCTCCCCTTGGCCCAACCCTCCAGATTTCTCATTTGTTATATTCCTGGTTCAGAGTTCCCATGTGTTTTGGAAAACCTGGAAAACTGGTTGATCAATTTCCCATTGTTGGAAAATTAGGAAAACAGTAAAATGTTCTGAGAAAGCGTGATTTATCCTGGAAAATTATTTACTTTCCTTCTACCTTGTTGATAGGTAACCAGGTTGCAGGGCACATTTTTTTCATGATTGGTTTTTAAAACTGTCCAGTGCTTTGAAAAACGTGGCTCACATTAGTCCACCTACAGAAATTCCAAACTTTGTCAAACTTCTAGAGCAAACTTTTAAAAGTGGATTATGAGTAAGCAAAATATGTATTGACATATTTGTTTTTATCCTTTAGTCATGGTTGTTATTAAAAGCTGACCTTAAAACCAATTTAACCCTTCACTGCCAGTATAGGCAAAGGGACACTGACCTCATGTCTACAAATACTGCAAAGTAAAGTGCTGAAACTTTTCTAAAAACAACACAAACTTGGGTCAAAGTGTCTTAAAGTTATCTATATCAAAGCTAAATATTATGATTACATGGTATATGGTACATTGATGACAGTAATAGATAAACACAACAAAGTATTTACAGAATAAAAAAAAGCAAAGCAGCAGCAACACCAGTCCATGCAAATTGTAAAAGGGCAATGATAAAGCAACCATGCAATGATTAGAGCCTCTGATATGAGACACAGATCTCATAAGAGTTAGTAGACCAGACATGTGAAAATGTGCTGATGTGCAAAAGCAAAAGCATCTGTGCATTGTTGACAGTCAGTAAAGCAAGTTGTGGAGGGCATGTAAGGTGCTGGTTCAGAGCTGCTGGGGCTCTGGGGATAAGACTGTTATTTTAACCTGGAAGTGCAGGCAGAATATTTATTTTAAATAGCTGAATACCCAAGCGAACCAGAGATGCGCTTTGTTTGAAGCATACCTTCAGACTCTGATAGTCATACCTTGGCTGGAATATCATTAGAGTCTTGTTTATGTACAGTTTCTTGACAAAAGTTTTCTGTAATAATGGATAAAGATGAGTTCATCCCTCATTTGAGCCTTTACAGCTACAATTGAAAAATCAATGACCTACTACACTCGCCTCTGTCTCTCCCATACCATACCTTGTTGATAGTTCAGTTCCACTGATTGTTAATAAAATTGTCTTTTATTTAAAGCAAATGTTTGTGTTGTTTTCCTTTGGCTGATCACATTGATATGCAGCCTGATTTGTTATAAATTAGGGTCTGCTCTTTGCTATTTTTCTGCTGTTGTCTTTGTGTGCTCCTTTGCTGTAGCCTAACCTGTTGAGATGCAGGTAAATGTACACGAGAATGCAACTGGCTGTTTCTATATCATAGGATTACATTGAATGTAGGTAGGCTGTGTGTCGGCTATAATGCCCTATTAGTATGTTGAAATACAGTTTCCCTATCCCAATTGTCTTTGTAGGTCAAGATCGTATGTTTCCTTAATTATTTTCTCAGAATGCCTCATTTACATGTCAAAAAACAAAAAAAAATCTACTGGTGGAGGATACTCCTGGACCCCCCTCTGGTTTCCAAACCTTCAGCCCCACCTACTAATTTTCTCACCAGCCGCCACTGCTAGCAATCTGACATGGTGAATCCTAGTCGAAGCTATCGTAGGATCTAACAGCCGTCTTCTTGCTCTGCCAGATGGGATGTGTCATGGGGAGGGCAATACAAGTTCAGGGGGCAGTTATCGTGGAGTACAGAGGGGAGAGGCTTGTGTGTGGCGTTAGGGACGTTTTTTTTTCCAAATCTGCCTCAACGGCTTTGCAATGTATTTCACTGCTGATAAAATAAAACATTTCAAGGTTAGCGGAAAATTTATAAAAGAAAAAAAAAGATGAAACTTGCCGGAGTGTTAATATTGGACTTTTTCATGCGTTTTGATTGTTGTAGAAACAATCACCATATTGACGTTGGGTTATATTAACATTACAACCGTCAGTTTTGAACTGTCACGCTCATACACCCATAGCTCTGAGTCAGGTCATAGTTTGGACAACGTTCTCATTGGTCTAAGAACTGAAGATCCATCTTCCTTTCCCTAAAATGTGACAGAATGGCAACAGTTAGCATCACATTAGCACTGTTAGCCTGTTAGCACATTAGCCACTTCCATATCTTAGCAGCTGTCAATATCAGCTCATGTTTGATAGGTCTTGGTTCACCTGAGTATTATGTTTTTTTTTACTCTTACTTTCTGATACCTGTTTAGTAGCTTTACATGTTTTTCAGGTCAGTAAAGCCTCAAATTTTTACAGCGGTGTATTAAAATCATAAAATATGTTTACCTTGTGATTTGAAACTGTAATGAACTTAATCCACTGTCTTTCACCTTTATTTATATCTTTAATCTCTACATTGAGTCTTTAAAAGGCTATTCCAGATGACTGTGAATGAACTGATGGTTGTGACATGCTGTCTAAGTAACCATGTCTTAATGATCATCTTTTTGCTCATACAGGAGCATCACTATACATTTTCAGTCAGGTTCAAAGGCAGTATAAAAGTCCTGACAGAAAATCAAAGGTGTTTTAGATCATCTTGGTGAAATGAGATGCAGGGCAGGATCACTGCACTAAATATTAGTCCTTCAGTTGAGTTTAAATTAGGAGTCTGAAGGACCCTATGTCCTTGTATCAACCCAAACATTAATTTCAGGCCTTTAAAAAGCCTCAAACATTGATTTAAGAAATATGAGGACATGTTATTTTTTTTAGGTAAAACAACTAAGAGGAGATCTGAAATGAGTTTCAGGAGGTTTTCATGTGGCCAGACATGAAGCAGCTTTTTTTGTGTGACTCTCCACTTAGGAGGATCATCAGGATACCATGTCTGTCCAGCTGAGGCTGCCGTCTCCCCCACCCCTCCACCACTACCGCCACAACCCTGTGTCCATGCCCAGCTCATTCAGCACTCAGGAGATGAGGAGCAATCACCAGACTTCCAGGAAATCAAACATTGTTATATTTCCTGCCGAGAGGAGATGTCATTCGAGCCGACCCTCAGGTCAAGGCCAGTTTGATCATGAGGGAGAAACTGGGGACCTATTTGATGCCATTGGCGCTGGACTCGATGGAAGCTGATGAATCACCTGCTGCTGTTGATGAGCCAGCTGCAGCTGCCACTGAGCTTCAAGTTTTATTCTCTTTTTTATGGTTTATTCATTTGTCTTATTTATTGTGTCTTTGGTTGTTTTTGACAGGAGGGGGAGCTGTGCTGTTGCAACCCCCTCTGAACAGTGTGGGTACTCTGAGGTCAAGAGGAACTATATAACTACTAAATAAAGACTAATAAACACATTTTGCTGCTCGTATGGATGTGAAAAACATCCAGCTCTGAATATTTATGCAACAAGAGATGATCCTTTTATTTCCAAATGTATAGACATTGGCTGATGTCAATCTGTGTGGTCTGTGGCTAGTCAAGGGTGGGGGTTGCAGGTCTTCAACCAAATCTGGTTGAGCAAAGTGGTGTTGAAGTAAATGACTCCAGTATAAGAAATGTGATGAATACACAAGAGAGTAAGCAGAATTATCAGTTCAGTAGAGCCTCTATGTGCCCAAAAAGTTCCAAGAAGAGGTCTAATCAGCACAAATTAGTGATAATACCCATATAAACTTGATTTAAATTGCTATCACAGCCTGTTAAAGTCATTTCCTGCTTTGCAAGAGTTCAAGTACAAGGAATCCTGTAACTCTAAGAAACCGTCAAATGGTGCCCCTGTAAGTAATGAGACCTTGTTAGAAAAGGCTTAATCATTTCACCTTTACCAAGTTCTTAATTAAAAACTTAAGGTCAGAGCGAGTGAAGGGCCAGGTCGAGTCCATTTCTTAAGCACGGTGTAATACATCAAATATAGGGGGCCTGGGATGTAACATTAAGAGACGTAACCTGTCGTCTGCCCATGGCCATCAGACCAGTCAGGTCTCCCTGCAGGGATGGATTATATCCTACAGAAGCAGATTCAGAGGCTCAGCGGCTCTGTGCTGCGGAGTCAGACAGTGGTGCTGCAGGAGGTGGTCATACAAGGTACTGATTAGAGTGACTCCATTCACAGCGTCCTCTATTATGTGTGCTCCTTTGACAAATTCAAAAGGATATTGGTTCTTGTAAAACTTCATTTAAGCACCGTTAATGTATTATTATTTTAACATTTCTGCGTCTCCAGCAATGAGATTGCACGTCTTCTGTTTGCAGCTAAGAGTTCAAGAAAGAGCAGATTACTTCCTCGAAAACACAGTCGTTTTTCAGGGGAAAAATGACTTTATGCCATATGGGAGGAATTGCTTTTATGATTAAATGTCTTGGTACCTCCGCAGGGGGAGGCAAAGTAAAAAACAGGCTGGAAAATTTCAGTTGTATGTCAACTCCAGGTGCATTTTTGTCAGGGTGACGACAATTCAAAGATGATATTTTATATTTCACATACACTAGAGGTATGTTTTTAACCAGACAGATGGGAAATGATCAACAAAGAAAAATAACAATGCACCATAAGCAGACGCTTTAGTACAAGTAGAGCCAGCACTGAATCAGGTGGGTTGGGTTGGTTGGGGCACAAATCCTACAGGTAATTTTTAAATAAGCTGGTGTTAGCACCAATAGGGAAATAGACGAGATAATGGTTTATATGATTCCCTCCTTTTACTTTGATATTTTTTTCTGTGTCACCTTTAGATTGCTTATAATCTGTTTGCTCAGCAGGTAGCCGTGCAAAGTCTGCTAAATTCCCCAAAGTGATGTGAATTTCATCAGTCTTGGTTGAGGCTGCAAATAGACTGCAATTTCTAAGTTAAAAATACAAGGTTGGTAGTAGAGTTGAAAATAACTGAACTTCCTCAGTCATGCTCCAGGCTAGTTGCTCCAGGCTAGCTATGCCGCTAGCATTTTACACATTCAGACCTCCAAAAGATATGTTATCCTTTGAGAGAGTGGGTAAGAACATGAATGTGAAGGATGGTTGAAAACTGTCCATGAAATCAGAGTCAAATTTAACCCAACACCCCCTACACTGCCACACTGGTTTACTCTGGAAACAACTTGAACCATAATCATAAATTCACTCATCAGCAGCTACAAAGTCAGAAGCAGCAGCGGAAAAACAATAACAGCAACAAAAACTCAGAATTAGGGGTGACAAACTGGAAGAGCAAAGAAAAATAAAGATCAGAAAAATTCTAATATGGTAGCCTCTTTGCTGCTATTAAATTTGAATGTTTTATTTCCCAGTCCTTAATCCTTCCACTTTCCACTTTTAATGCAGCACATTTTATAATTCAGTTTATTTCTACATTGACAATAGCAGTAACTTGAATTAGAGGCTTTTTAAAAGGGGGAGTTTGAACCACCAAGCAAATGGCTAAAAGTTTGGAGCTCTTCCTTTTCTACATGTGATGGTTTGAGGTATAACTGACTGAAAATGATGGTAATAAGACGAGTATGACTGACTGGATAAAAATTGTGAAAAAACAAACAGCTAACTGGAATAACAAGGGTGAAAAATGGTCAAGCCAACTGGAAATAATGGTGAAATGCAATAAGTTAGTGGAAAAGGTATGACAGGATGGATAATGGTTTAAAAAAAAGGTTTGGCTACCCTTGAATAAGGTTGAAAATAAGTATAGCTCGCTGGAAAAAGTGGCAAGAAATGTCTAAATAGTAAAACTTTTATTTATCATAACTTCCAGTTGGCTAACCAAAAAATGAAGGTTTAGCTCCCTGGAAAATTCAATTAAAAATAGATTTCTAGAACTAATGGGAAAAGAAGGTGAAGTTTACTGTAAATGCCAGTGATTTGCTGAAGATAGAATTTGAGAAACCTTTTATTCACCTAAAATGTGAGCTTTTTACAATACATCAATGCAACAGAATCAGCAGCATAAATGTAAAGAGATGTGATCTATTGCAATACTGCATTTTACCCAAAGATGGCGTTCAATACGCAGAGTTTTCTGGGGTACAAGGCAGGATGTGCTCGTCGAGGGAGCACTTTTTGACACTTTTCTTCCTCATTGGATCATTATTATGGTCTTGTAGTAAATTAAGAAAATAAACCTTTTAGAGCAGTTGTTTGATTGAGGAGTCTTCAGTCTAAGGCATCATCAATATCTGTTTTTTCTTCATTGCATCGTCAGCCATGCAGCACACAGGTTTGCCTCCCTCTCCGTATCCAAGCACCATCACTGCAGTCTCTAGGCATCTGGCAATCATGCAGCAAATCACTTATAGACATATGCTCTATCTCATTGTTTTTTTAATTCCACTCAATGCTGTTAATTTTCATTAGAGAGCCCCGCCTGTCAGATCCCAGTTTGTTGTTTTTCTGTCTCTGATTGTATTCGGCTGCATTATCATTCCCGTCATGGTTGTGGACCAGAGCCAAGAGCTTGATTGGATCAGGAGTCGCCGAACTTCCAGTTTTAATTGAATTGAAGCTGCTTTCTCCCCGGGAGTCTACCAGCGGCCTGTGGGTAGAAAATACTAAGCAGCGCATTAGGAATATGCATGAGATGCTAAGGGTGCATTAACCAGAGGCATAAATGTGGTTAATAGCCAGTGTATATCAATACCTTCTTTTTTCTTGTTTATTTTCCGTGATCAGAATAAATGTGGCTTGATTTCAGAGCGAGGACTGAGAAATACAAACAAAGCATTTCTTTGGAGAGCTTTACAGCCTGGAAACATATTTCACAAGAAAGAGTGAAGATAAATAAGACTCATCTCATCTCATCTAAAAGATGGAAGCTGTGTCATCTTCTAATAACACGCTTTTTATCTTTTGATATTGATTGTCAAATACTCTGCACTTTTTTATCTTTCTGGTAGTTAATGCTTCACATGAGGAATGGTAAGACTGGGAGTACTTATTAGTTTTGGTTTTTTTTTCCCCTACAAAAAGAGCCTGGCATCACTCTCTGCCATGTTCCCCCTCTGTTTGTCAGCTTGGAGGCAGCTCCATTATCTATTGAACTATCACAGTTAAACATGTTTGCCCATCAGCGCCTGTGGAGAGTTCTCAGAAACTCAGTGGCTTCCAGTCCTGTTCTCGCTGCACCTGATCAAAACACAAACACACCAGAACATGTACGGAACACAGTTCATGTGAGGGGACTCGACAGGGAGTGTTGGGCCATGAGTCACGTCTTCCTGTATTCATATTTTCACTCCGGAATTAATCATCATGCATGTGTTTGCACACTCCACATGGGTGCGAGTAATCGATCAATTAGCAAAACAGCTCTTATCATCCTGGGAACTCATGGGCTGAGAGACTTTTATGCTTTATTCAGAGCACACCTCAGACAGAAGTCAGGTTGCTGACGGCTTCATCCAGCTCTGCAGTTTAATGAAAAGACCTGAAGCAGCCTTCATATTTATATTCATGTGCAATAGTGATGTTGAGAGCAGAGAAAGCTCCAAAGGGAGGCTACAAATGGCAAGATTTTGGTTGCAGAGTTCAGACTACATAAAAATAACTATTTGAGAAGCTAAAATCACGCTTAGATGAAAACTGAGATGATTGATAACCACTGAAATGTTGGCCTGGCCTCATCAGACCAGTTCATCTTGGTGAATGGGTCCATTAGATCCATTTTCCTCTGAGAGCATCAGCAACGGTCACATACAAAGTGATTGTGCAGACTGACAACATTCGATAAATGTAGCATGTAATGAAGCACATAGCAACAGAAATGTAAACAGACAGAGGCATGCAGTGTCATGTTAGGTTTGTTTTGTGATTGAATGTCGAACTGGACAGTGCAAAACTAATTGACCTACTGGTAGAAATAAGCTAACCTGAACCAGTTTGTTTAAAACTGCTGCCTCCACAGATTTAACAAACTTTCCAGCAGCAGATTGTTATCGTCAATAAAGGACTGTGATTGGGTTAGTATATCTGATGCTGAGGAGAATGTGTTAAGGATGACACAGGTCCCACAACCACCTGCCAGCAAAAACATGAGTATGAGCTGGCTGATGGGTCCAGCAACTTCAAGCAAGTACTGCTCTTGAATAATTGAACAGTTCAATCCCACCAGCATTTTTGCCATATTTTCTGGGGTGTAGAGACAACTCAAGAAAT